GTGCGGAAAACAAGGCGTAAATGAGGAAAGAAATCACTGGAAAAGCTGGAGCAGCATCCCGGTGCTGCTGGGTTTGGAGGGACACCTTCCACCAGCCCAGATTGCTCCAAGCCCCATCCAACCCGGCCTTGGACACTTCCAGGGATGGGGCAGCCACAGCTTCTCTGGGCAACCTGTGCCAGGGCCTCCCCACCCTCCCAGGGAAGGATTCCTTCCCAATATCCCATCTAAACCCACCCTCCTTCTGCCAGTAAAAGGGGGCTGGGATGTCTCAGCAGCTCCTGCTCCGAGGAAGCACCTTCAAAGCCCTGGGGTGGAACAGCAGCTGCTTTTCCAGAGCAAAAATTGCAACAAACCTGGGTAAGGGCTTTGCCAGGCATTTCCCATCTCATGTAAATGTTTTTCGGGGGGGATAAGATCCTAAAATTCCAGCTGGAGGCCAGAGTGTGGCCGGTGTGAGGGGACGGGCAGCACAGGGTGGGACACGTGTGGGGATCCCCCTGTGCCACCCCGTGTCACCCCATCACCCTGGGTGGGCTGGTTGCTTTAGCCAGGAGTGAAGCTACTGAAAATCTGAAACAGGAACACCCTCCCATCCCAGGGAACAATCTCCCATCCCAGGAACGTCCTCCCACCCCAGGAACAACCTCCCACCCCAGGAACAACCTCCCATCCCAGGAACATTTTCCTGTCCCGGGAACAACCTCCCACCCCAGGAACGTCCTCCTATCCTGGGGAACAACCTCCCACCCCGAGGAACGTCCTCCCATCCCGGGAACAACCTCCCACCCTGGGAAACAACCTCCCATCCCTGGGAACATCCCCCCCGCCCCGGGCGCATCCCTCCCATCCCTCGAACGGAGCCGGCGAATCCGCGGAGCGGCACAATAACACCCGAATTTAATAAAAAACCGCCTCGAACAGACAAAGTTTTTCCTTTTTGCCAGCTGCTTAATTAAATTGCCTAATGCTGTTTGCGGTGGCAGCACAAACTCCCGTGTTTGAAGCCCGCGGTGTTGCCATGGAGCTCACCCGCGGCTGGCGCGGCCGTGCCCAAGCATACAGATGAGGGGGGATGCTGGGGCCGGCCCGGGGGAGGGGGGAAGGTTCGGTGTCTCTCCTGCCTTTTATTTATCTGTTTGTTTTTCTGACGCGGCAGCAAAAGCCCCTGCCAAGGTTTTCAGCGTGGCTCTGGAAAAGCAGCTGCTTTTTCCGCCCCCGGGGCTTTGAGGGTGTTTGCCGGGAGCTGCTGAGACATCCCGGAGGAAGGAGGGTGGGTTTAGAGGGGATATTGGGAAGGAATCGTTCCCTGTGAGGGTGGGGAGGGCCTGGTACAGGTTGCCCAGAGAAGCTGTGGCTGCCCCATCCCTGGGAGTGTCCAAGGCCAGGCTGGAGCAACCTGGGATGGTGGAAGGTGTCCCAGGGCAGGGGATGAGCTTTAATGTCCTTTCCAACCCAAACCATTCCGAGATTCCACGATTCCCACCCTCCTGCCCTGGGCAGGACTATGAGGCTGGATCCTGCTCCCAGTGGAGCCTCTGGCTCCCGGCATCACATTCCCAGGGGCTGGCTGAGCACTGGAAACAGCAAAAGGCACCGAGGGTGGGCGAGGGGGGGGAGGATTTTCCCACAGCCTCCAACTGCCACGTCTCATCCGGCGGGGATGACAGGGCCGGGAAGGTTCCTCGGTGCCCGCGGAGCCGTGGCCGTGTCAGAGCAGTCACCCAGAACAGACAGGGCCCCTGGCAGCAGCGCAGAGCCCCGGGAGACGCCATCCCTCGGGAATGTCACCGCGGAGAGCCGCTGCAGGAGAGAGGAGCAGGAGAGAGGAGCCATGGGCTGAGCACAGCCCTGCCCCAGGAACCCCCTCCCCGTGCCCATGGGGGGGTGGATCAGGCTCTTGTGGCTGCGGGAAGGGAGAGGGGAGGGCAGGAGAGCCCTTCCCAGGCTCAGCTGCAGCCATTTATCTCCCGGATCCGGGCTATCAGACGGATGACAGAGGGAGAGAGGCAGCCGGTGCGAGCGCAGACCAAGGCTCCTTCCCGGGGTGATTTATCTCCTGGCTTCATCCAGCAAACTTGCTGATGAAAAGACTCTTCCCTTCTCTGTGCCTCATCAATTCTCATTCTCGCTGCTTTTCTATTTTTTTCCCCCTTTCCCTGGGTTTCTGTTCCCTTCCCTGCAGCTCCTGCACACCCCACCTCCCCTGTGCTCCCCATCTCCTGGCCCCGTTCTCTGATGGTCTCTTTGACCCTTTCCTTCTCCTTTTCACCTCTGATCCCCCTTCTTTACCTCCCCGTGGCACTTTCATTCCCCTTTATTCCTTCTTCTTCCATCTTTCCCTGCTGTATCCCCGGCTGGGAGGGAAAGAGGCTCCTTGAGCATCATCAGCAAGTGTCACCATGGGCAACATTTGTACACGGGACAAATCCAGTCTCGGAGGCAGAAGTCACAGAAATACCACAGGGAGCTGAAGGAATCGGGTAAACACTGAGAAATTATGGAAGAGACGTGGCATCCCTGGTGCGTGAGGGGAGGAAAAAAGGAAACCGGGGTGTTTTCCACTTCCATGCAGCAAATGTTTCAGTCTCTTGAATCTACATTTTTGGAGAAAAAACAATCTGGGAGCAGAAGCGTCCCCGGCTCCCTGCTGTCGCTGCCGTCGTGCCGCAGCCCACGCCGAGGGAGAGCCGGGAATAGCAGCCGGGAGCAGCCGGAGCCGGCAGGGAATGTGGGACCTGTCAGGGAATGTGGGACCCATCAGGGAATGTGGGACCCGGCAGGGAATGTGGGACCTGTCAGGGAATGTGGGACCCAGCAGGGAATGTGGGACCCATCAGGGAATGTGGGACCCGTCAGGGAATGTGGGACCCATCAGGGAATGTGGGACCCATCAGGGAATGTGGGACCTGGCAGGGAATGTGGGACCTGTCAGGGAATGTGGGACCCGTCAGGGAATGTGGGACCCGCGGCCCCCGGGGGGTCCCGGTCCCTCCCCGTTCCCACAGACCTTCCTGTAACCACGGCCCCGCCGTCCCCTTCCCCTTCCCGGCTTCCCCAAGGCTCCTGTTATCCCAGGCAGCGTCTTCCCACCGCCTGCAAAGGCAGCAAATCCATCTGCCTGGGAGAGGAGATGGGATCTGGGCTCCCTGGGAGGCACCACTTAACCCCGGAGCTCCAGCCTGAGCTCTCCCATTTATTTGCCTCAATCCCGGCTCCCTCCACTTCCCTGTCTCGCTCTGAGCCTGTCTGGGGGGAAATAAAGGGATTTTGGTGCTTTGCTGCTGCTGGAGAGTCAGGGATGGAGGGGGAGGGTGGGAGTTTTGGGATGGGGTGCACGGGAATCACTGCAGAGCCACACCCAGGGAATGGATTCGTGGGGATTGTGGCTGCCCCATCCCTGGAATGTCCCAATCCAGGCTGGACGGGGCTTGCAGCAACCTGGTCTAGTGGAAGGTGTCCCTGCCCGTGGAGTGTGATGAGCTCTAAGGTCTCTTCCCACCCAAACCATTCCATGAGCCTCTGATTCCATGACCCCACTGTCCCCCTCAAGGTCTGGGTCTCCCCTGGACTGGCTCTCTCCCAGGATCCCCATCCCTAACCCTTGGGATGGGGCTGCAGCTCCACGGGAAGAGGCTTTTGAGCCCTAATGGGAAACCAATGGAATGAAAACTGGCTGTGGAGCTGCAGGAGCTCCGGCTCCATCCCCCCTTCCACCTCGGGAGCAGCACAGTAAGAGGCTGAACGGGTTTGCACGTTACCTGCAGGCTGCTCCAGAGCCTAATTAAGAAATAATGAGCCTGATTTTGCTGGGTAATGGATAAAAACCAAGCAGCAGGTTCCTGCCCCCTCCATCCCTGTCTCTGTACCACCTCCAGGAATGCAGGGAGCAGCTCCCAGGGCGTCCCTGGTTTGTTCCCCACAGCAGGGACCCCACACTGTCCGTGTTCTCCCTTGTCCAGTTTGCTCCTTGTCATTTGAAAGCGTGAAATATGAAGTTTAGTTGCCAGATTTCCCACAAAAATGCTGTTTTTCTGTGAGCTCTGATCCTGTGACTCACACAAATCCCTGGACTGTTCCGGCATCATCCTGTATCCCGGACTTTTCACAGCCATCAGTGCTGGGAAAAAGGGATAAAAAACCCAGTTACAGGCACAAACCAGCAGAACTGGGGGACCTTCCCTGGAAAATGGGGTTTGGAACAAAGTCTCCTCTTTGTATCCTTGAGAAAATAACTAAAAAATCCCGTTCCTCCATATTGTTTCTTTAAGCAGAGAAGGTTCTCTGATACTTTAATGGCCGGAGAGTTTCGCAGCCACTGAAGTGCCCGAGCACTTAAAAAAGAAAGCTGTGGGTCCGTCAGAAGGAGACAGAAATCAATAGATCCGTCCTCTCCTTTCATGCTGGTGCTCCAGGAGCTGGTTTAAAAGGCAGTGCCCTCGCAGCAGGAAGGGAGGGAAGTGTGAGGGATCAATTCTGGAGCGAGGCCGGGATGAGTCGATGCTGAATAAACTTTGGTTGGAAGCCCTTTCCAGGGAGAGCAACGTGGTGATAAAACAGAGCTGCTGGGGAAGAAACTTTCTTTTCCCACTCCGGCGGCTTTTTAATGTTTTTCCTGCTGCGTGAGAGTCTTTTAAGCGGGAGGAGCTTTGGGGCTTGGTTTGATTGGTGTCAGCGTGGGGCAGGAGAGTTGGAGCAAAGCAAGGAAACAGAGGTGGCCTGGGGGCTGGACCCCGCTCCTCTAGACCCCGTGGCTGGATGGGGAGAGGGGCAGGAGGTGCTGGGGGGGGTCAAACCCAGCCCAGCCCCTCAGGGAACACCCCAACGAGGAACCCCGACCCCTCAGCCAAGGCAAGGGGGCAAAGCTGGGGCTGCACCAGCTCAGAGGGGGTTCAGGAGCCTGTGCTTGTGCTCAGGTCTTTGCCCCTCTGTCCTGTTCGTTCTCCCTGATCCTTCCTAACCACGAGAGTCCTCCCCTCACACAACCTGTTGTCTTCCAGGAACGACCTTGAGGAGGAGCCCGGAAGATGCAGAAATGAATCCCCTGGGGAGGAGGAAGAGCTGAAGCTCTGACTGAGGCGGTGCCAGCCCTGGTGTTCCCTGCTCTGGGTTGGGAGAGGAGGGGGCCAGGCAGAGCCGGCGGCAGGAGCTGACGGTTCCGGGGGCTCCCATGGAGCATCTCCTCCCCCGGGGGCTGTTCCCACCCGGCTGTGCCCTCTGAGCCTTTCCCTGCCCGGCAGGAGCTGCTCCCACGGCCCAAGATGAGCTGCCTGCAGACCAGCTCCCTGCTGCTGTGCGTGGTGGCCGCCGCCACCACCATGCCCACGGTGCCCTGGAGGGTGAGGTGCCCCCCTCAGTGCATGTGCCAGATCCGACCCTGGTACACGCCCCGCTCCGTCTACCGGGAGGCGGCCACGGTGGACTGCAACGACCTGTTCATCTCCTCCGTGCCCCGGGACCTGCCCGAGGGCACCCAGACCCTGCTCCTGCAGAGCAACAACATCGCCAGGCTGGAGCAGAGCGAGCTGGACTACCTGAGGAACCTCTCGGAGCTGGACCTGTCGCAGAACAGCTTCTCCCACGTCCGGGACTTGGGGCTCAAGGACATGCCCCAGCTGCTCAGCCTGCACCTGGAGGAGAACCAGCTCTCTGAGCTGCCCGACAGCAGCTTCCCCGGGCTGGGCAACCTGCAGGAGCTGTACCTGAACCACAACCAGCTCCGCAGCATCGCCCCCCGCGCCTTCGCTGGCCTGGGCGGCCTCCTGCGCCTGCACCTCAACTCCAACCTGCTGAGGACGCTCGACAGCCGCTGGTTCCAGATGCTGCCCAGCCTGGAGATCCTCATGATCGGGGGCAACAGGGTGGACGCCATCCTGGACATGAACTTCAGGCCCCTGTCGAACCTGCGGAGTTTGGTCCTGGCTGGGATGAACCTGCGGGAGATCTCGGATTACGCCCTGGAGGGGCTGCGGAGCCTGGAGAGCCTCTCCTTCTACGACAACAAGCTGGCGGACGTGCCCAAGCGGGCCCTGCAGCAGGTGCCCGGCCTCAAATTCCTGGATCTGAACAAAAACCCGCTGCAGAGGGTCAAGCAGAGCGACTTCACCAACATGCTGCACCTCAAGGAGCTGGGGCTCAACAACATGGAGGAGCTGGTGTCCATCGACCAGTTCGCCCTGATCAACCTCCCCGAGCTGACCAAGCTGGACGTGACCAACAACCCCAAGCTGTCCTTCATCCACCCCAACGCCTTCCACCACCTGCCCCAGCTGGAGACCCTCATGCTCAACAACAACGCCCTAAGTGCCTTGCATAAGCAGACGGTGGAGTCGCTGCCCAACCTGCAGGAGATCAGCATCCACAGCAACCCCATCCGCTGCGACTGCGTCATCCGCTGGGTCAACAGCACCGACACCCACATCCGCCTCATCGAGCCGCAGTCCACGCTCTGCGCCGAGCCCCCCGACCTGCGCCGGCGCCACATCCGCGACGTGCCCTTCCGCGAGATGACGGACCAGTGCCTGCCCCTCATCTCCGCCCAGAGCCTCCCGTCCCGCCTGGAGGTGGCCCACGGGGACAACGTGTCCCTGCACTGCCGGGCGCTGGCGGAGCCGGACCCGGAGATCTACTGGGTGACGCCGTCGGGGGCCAAGCTGGTGCCGTTCGGGGCGGGCGGGCGCTACCGGGTGCACTCGGAGGGCACGCTGGAGATCCGGGGGGTGGCCCCGGCCCAGGCCGGGCTCTACACCTGCGTGGCCCACAACCTGCTGGGGGCCGACACCCGCAGCGTGCGCCTGCTGGTCAACCACTCCTTCCCGCTGGGCCGCGCCGGCCTGGAGCTGGCGGTGGCGGACGCGCAGCCCTTCCACGTCCTGCTGGCCTGGAAGCCGCCCCTCAACGCCGTCTCCTCCAACCTCACCTGGTCCAGCTTCCCGCCCGGCGGTGCCCGCGCGGGCTCGGCCCGGCTGCCCACGGGCACCCGCAGCTACAACATCACGCGGCTGCGCCCGGGCACGGCGTACCGGGCCTGCCTGCGCGTGGCCTTGGCGGACTCACGGGCCGAGGTGTCCTGCGTGAGCGCCAGGACTAGGGAGGCCGAGCTCGGCCGTGGGCTCCCGGGGGGCCGGCGGGGCCTGCTGACGGCGCTGGGGCTGTGCCTGCTGCTGCTGCTGGTGGGCGCCGCGCTCGTGGGCCGTGGAGGGGCCGGGGAGCAGCCCCGGGGGGCTCCTGGGGCCGTCAGGGTGCTGTACCCCCTCCACCCCGCCCTGGGCGGGCAGCCCTGGGCCCGGGGGCAGCACGGCAGAGGGGGGCACCTCCTGGCCGTGGAGGTCCAAGCGGCGCCCCTGGACTGCTGAAGGTTGGCAGGGGGGTGGTGGGCAAGGCCGAGGGTGGGAAGGGAGGGAGAAAGTATTTTTTACCAAAAAAAAAGTGAAAAAACTGAACTGCAAAACTGAACGACAACAACGACAAAAAACGAAAAAAACCCAACAAAAAAAAGGGGTTTCATGGACTTGACCAAGAGTCGGGGTGGGGCAGGAGGAGAGGGGCAGAGCTGCCCATGGGAGGGGGCTGGCAGGGCCTCCCCGGGGTCTGGATCCGTGTGCAGGCTCGGGATGTGTCCGTGGCTCCCAAAAGCACCCGCTGGGAGGGCTCGGAGGGGCCCGAGCCCCAGGGGGACGATGCCCCGAGTGGTTGAAGAGCCATAAGGATGATCAGCTGATCACCCCTCCCTGTGTCCCCCTGGCACCAGAGGCACCCCAGAGGTGTCACCTCCCTCGCTGGACTGTGCCTGGTTCGGAGAGACGAGGAAAAAAAAAAGCCTTTTCCTTTGGGATCCGTGGTGGGGTTTGGTTTCTTTTTTGGGTTTTTTTTTTGAGCATTCGGATAATCAGCCCCAAACTGCCCCAGTGCCACCCCCTGCCCTGTCATTGCTGTTGGCTGAGGGGAGGAGCAGGGACTCGGGGGGGGATTTTGGGGGCAAAAGAAACAGAAATGATGGTGGTGACATGTCTCAGTTGGCATCTCTGCAGGGCTGGGCACCTCCTGCCAGAGCTGGATGGATCCTGTGTCCTGCAAGTGCAATCTCGAGGCTGTTTTGTAAACTTTTGCAGATAATGTTAAAAAAGGGGGAAAAAAAAGGGGGAGGGAAATAGGAAGAAAAGGGGGGAGGAAGTTCTTGGTTTTCTGATTTTGTGTATAAAAAACAAGGGGAGAAAATGAAATGCTGGCGTGCAGCTGGAGGGCTCCGTGGCAGGGACCCCCTAATTCAGAGCTCCAGGAGTGTTTGGACAATGCTCTCAGGGACAGGGGGGGACATTCCATGATTCCAGGATTCTAGCACACGGTGTGGCACCCAAAAAAACCCCCAGTGTGGGCACAGGGGCATCCAGAGCCACGGGAAAGAGCCAGGGAAAGGCATCCCAGCCACGCCTGGGGGGTGAGGGGGTGCAGGTCCCCCCGGAGCTCCCCCTCCCTGCAACCCCCTCAGGTTGATGCCAAGTTGTCCCCCCCCACACAACCCCTGCGTGCAAAGGGCTTGGAAAGGACCAGAAAACCTCAGCACAGTTAAAAAACTGCCTGGACTCACCATCCATCTCCCAGCCCAGGCAAGATGGGTCCCTGCTGGATACGCTCGGGCTCAGCCAGGCACGAGAAACGGCTCCTGTGCCTCGGCTGGCTGATTATTTCGGAGGGAAATGGCTCTCCCTGGCCCCCCTTCAGCCTCCCCAGCACGTGTAGGGACCCAGGGAGGTCTCCAGGGCCCCGAGCACGAGCTGGAAGTCAAATGCAAGTTTAAACACTCGGCTGAATCCGAGCCATGATCCACTGTGGGTGTTTGGATCCGAGCCCCCGCTCAGGTGAGCAGCTCCCTGGGCTTGCAGATTCCAGGCCTGGAACAAGCCTTTTTCCCCTCGTCTGCCTCTTGGAAACGTGGATGCAAAGTGTTATTATTCCCCGTGGTTTCAGCTGAGCTGGTGCTGGGAGGTGTGGGAATGGTCGTGGGTTGGTTCCCGTGGGAACACGGCCCTGGTTTGATCCTGCCAAGGGCTGAGCCCCGGGAGCGTCTCCCACACCCTCCACCATCCCATTCCCGGCAAAACCCATCAGCATTCCCTAAAAAAACCCCTAAGGACCGAGCCCCTGAAAGGCTGTGATTTTGTAGGTGGAGAGAAACGACCTCTTTGATCCCTGGGAGGGGGAGGCTCAGCCCGAGCTGCTGCTCTGCCCCTGCCCAGCCCAGATTGAGATTCCAGATATGGGCGATTAATTTGATTTCCTTTGAAACTGCAGCGACCTGAGGAGCTCTGGGCAGGGGGAGGCACCCACCACTCACTGCAGGATTGTTCTCCCAGGGGGTCCCCCCACCGTGTCCCCCCAGCCCAGGCTCCCCGTGGGACAGCAAGGGCCAAATCACCCCCAAATCACCCCCAAAACACCCCAAAAATGCTGTGAGTCCCCCCCCATTCCCTCCCTCCCTCCAAGGGCAGCAGCTGAGAGCACCGTAGGTGCCTCATCCACTATTTATTGTTGTTGTTATTTATTATTAAAGCACCAACCAGCCTTTCCCGGGCCCCGTGCTGAGGGAAACGCTCCATAAACCATTCCCTGCTCCCGGGCCGGGATGGGGAACGTGGAGCTGGAGCAGCTGCAGTCAGAGCATCACCAGCACCATCCCTGTTAGCCAGGGGGATGGGATGGAGACCCTTCCTCCTGCAGAGACCACAGCCAAGGGGTTGGAGCCTGGACTCTCCACCCAGGAGGCTTTGCTGGAGCACACGAGGGGATATTTTGGAGTGCAAAGCCCAAAATCTTGGAGCGAAAAGCAGGGAGAACAGGGAATTTTAGGCATTTTATATTCCCTTCCAAGGGGAGCAGCCCCCTGGGTGCTGAGGAGGGGTCACTGCAGGGGCTCAGCTCCCAGCCCAGAGCACAAGGATGTGGCAGAAGCCAGGGATGCTCTGGAAAAAGGGAAGCAGAGTCTGACCCGGGATGCTCCCAACTCCAGGGCTCTTTGCCCGGCCCCCCAAGGGCAGGGCAAGCACAGGGCAGCCCAAAATAGAAACAACATGTTGTGCTCTTTCTCTTGAAGCAGCAGCAGTAATTAACCAGGCAGCAGCTTTACGGGTACCAGGGGATGGCACTTCCCATTCCCGAGCTCCCAGAGACGCTCTGGAGAAGAGGATCCCGAATTTCTCAAGGGCCAAGAGACTGTCACCGAGCCCAGACACCCCTCCTGGCTGGGCCTGGGGGGCTTGGGGGGCTCAGTGGGGCTGGGGGGGGGGTGAACAGGGGTGGCCTCCAGCACCTCCTGGTTGTCTCCATCCATCTGGGATGTCAAAGGTTTGTTTGGGAATGGTTTTCCTCCCCTCCAGGCACTGGTTTCTCCCCTATAACCCACCATTCCTCAGCTGTTCTTCAGGTTTGATTTCTCCTTTTCTTTTTTTTTTTTAAATTTTTTTATTTTATTTATTACCTCGACTTTGAGAACAGGAGTAAAAGTCCTCCTTTCTGCTCCTCCTCCTCCTCTTCTTCCTCGTTCTCTCCTCACCAACAGCATCGTGGATCTCACGCAATGGAGCTTCTTTCTCCCAGCAAAGCCAACGAGAACATTGTGTGCCAGGCTCTATTTTAAGCACCCAATAAAACTGATTTTTGGAGTGGCTCCATCCCCGTGTCCTTCCTTCCCGCAGCCCTTGGCACCTGCCTGAGGTCCCACATCCCCAGCACCCACCCCTGGGCACTGCTGGGCTCCTGCTGCTCCATCCCTGCCTGCTCCAGAGGCTCCCGGGCTCTGGGAGGAGCTGACAGGGGTTTATTAGTTCGTTAGGGAATCAAATCAGGCCTCTCCTCCTCCTCCTCCTCTCCAGCACTTCCTCAAGAATGATTTAAATTAAACCCCGACCTCCCTGGGAAATGTCAGCAGCGTTATCCATATGCATGATGCCATTAGGATGGAGCAGGTGCAGCTCCCAAAACCTGCAGGAAAACCTACCTGTCAATCTGCTCGGCAAAACAGCTCCTTCCAGAGGCTCCAGCACTTCCCCATTCCTGCCTTTGCCACCAACCACGGGGGGGGGGAAACTGAGGCACAAACTGGGACTGGCTTTGGCCCCCGGAGCCCCCGGAGCAGGGAGGAGGCACGGGCAGGAGGGAGGGAAGGGGAATTGCAGGTTGGTTGTTCCCTGCTGCCTGTTCCAGCCCCTGTTGGATCATCCCAGGCAGCCCCGGGAAGAGGGTTCAGGTGGGAAAATGGGGCTCGAATCAACGGGAAACAGCCAGGAAGGAGAGGTGGGACAAGGGTGGTTTGGAGCTCACTGACCCCTCCAAAGGGGGGTTCCAGCCAGCTCCTGTGGCTCTCCCAGTCCTGTGGAATGCTTTGGGAAGCCCAGCTCCCTGCCCAGCACTGCCTCCCTTCCCCATGGCCAAGGGATCCACAGGGATGTTGTCCTGGACGAGGCTGTGGCTGGAATGTGTCCTGTGTCCCCCTCGGAGCAGCAGCAGCACCCCAGGACACACCAGTGCTCCCTGGATCCCACAGATCCTGGTGGGATGGGGATGGGGCTGCTCCTGCTGCCTGTGCCAGGCAGGCTTCAATAATTCATTAACAATAATTCACTAACAATAATTCACTAACAAACTTTGGGGATTCTGGGGTCTGATCCCGCTCCCGTCCCGGGATCTGCTCCCAGTGGGATGTGTGGAGCACCCCTGGTACCCCCCCCACACTGCTCCCCAGGAGCCCTGAAACTCTTAAACCTGAATTATGTGGTGGGAGAGCAAGAACTGGTTTGGGATTTGCAGGTGGGAAAGAGGGAAGAGAGCTGGGAGAAGGGAAAGGCAGGATGGAGAATGAATAACAGGGAATAACAAGCCAGGGGCAGCTGGGTGGTGGCAGGAGCGGGAATTGGTGGGATGGAACTTCCCTTTCCATCACCCTGGAAGCAGCTCATGATGGCAGGGCTGGATGAGATCCCAAGGAATATCAGGCTTTGGCAGGGATTCAGCCATTCCAGCAGGAGATGGGAGACAGGGAGGGGGGGGAAAACTCCCACCCCTGCAACAAGAATCAGCAAAAACAGTTAAAAACAACAGCAAAACCCCACCCCAGGTGTAAAGGGGAGGTCTGTGCTGTCACTGCTCTGCTGGGAACCCCTGGAAAACCCCTGGAGAGTCGGGAATTCCTAGTGTGGATAGCAAACAGCTTTGATCCCTGCCAATCCTCCCTAAATCTCGAGCAGGGTCTTGTTAAATCTTTAACGACAAGAAAATTGCAACCTCTGCCGGTGAGCACACGAACGGGGCTGATAAATATTTCAGATCCCCAGATCTGAGGGGGTTCGGGGAGGACAGATGGG